TTTTTTGCATGTGGCTGAGTCCCCTCTTGCCTCCCCCTCCCCGCATTGCTCCCCACCAGAAGCAAAGGTGAGGGGCTCGGCACGGCTCATCCGCCCCCTTAGGTGATTCTCGGTGGTTTCCAGACGTGACAGCACCCTTAGTGGATGAGGGAGCCCCCGGTGAGCAGGCGGCCACTCAGCCCCACACGGAGATCCCAGAAGGAACCACAGGTGAGGTGGCCCCGGGGGCCGGGCGTGAATGGCCCGCAGTACGGCTGACCCGCGGGGCGGGTGGGCACAAGGGGCGTGCTTGTCTCCCGCCGAGGCAGGGAGGTGGTGGATGGGCCCCTGGGAGTCTTGGGCTGCCCCGAGCTCCGTGCCTTGATGCCCTCTGTTCTGGGCTGTCTGCCACCTCCCGGAGGGAGAAGACCTTCTGGAGTCCTCCCGGCTCCCCTCCTGCCCCGGTCAGAACCCTCCGTAGGGCGCCTTGAGCAGGCTGGTGGCGTCTCCTGCCCCTTTCACTCCTGAAGTCAGTGCTGCTCCTGCTCTGCCCAGAGACGGGGTCCCCTCTCTAGGGGCCCCGCCAGCGAGCACTGGAGTATGCAGCAGGGTCCAGATCACTGACCCAGAGCTTTGGAGGGCCTCACCTGGACAGTCCCTGAGGTCAGCAGTGTAATCTAGCATCTATTTCTAGAACTGTCTCCAAACACCCTGCGTAGATCACGGGACCCTCACGGGAGGGCTCACAAGGATGATGGGGAGTGGCTTGGACTGGGTACTGGCCTGGGGCTGCCAGGGCCACTTGTGAGCTGCCCAGCCCTGGGCCCTCAGGAAACAGCCAGTGCCACCCAGAGTCCTTGCTGTCCGTCCTTCATGTAATGACGTGGGCTGACGTAGAGACTCCAGACGTTGCCATGTGACTGGGGGGATGCAAGGAAAGCAGAAGTCTGGAAGGCCGAGACTGGGCAGATGTCCCCAGGGCGGAGGAGGGGGGGTGTTTCTTTCCTTCCTAAAGATGGGTTCCAGCCAGCCTGCAGCTCTTCCTCTGGCTCTTATGTAACAATGCAGGACAGAAGCCAAGGGGCACCGACTTCTCCATTGCAGTTTCTGCTTGGTCTCCTGAAGTGGGTGGGGGGTAACTCTCCAAGCCTGGCAGGCCTCGTCCTTGAGCAAGGTCACTGAAGGCCATGGAATGACTCAGGGTGAGATCACGGCTTTGACTTTATCTCCCGCTGCCCCTTTGTGCTTTATCCAGTGGGGGAAGGCAGGGCTGGGACAGTCGGCTTGATGTCTCCTCGGTAACCACAAGCAGCCACGGTCACAGAGCAGCCTGCGAATGCTAATGAGAATGCCAGGTCCTCAGAGCTTGGGTTGGGGTGCAGCTCTGCCCCGTGGGGCTGGGGCTGGGCCTGGGGAGGGAGAGGCAGGGAAGCTCTCGCCAAGCTGGCAGTGCTGTGAGCTGGTGTCACGGTCTCTGCAGGTGTGTAAGATGACTTTGTCTGGGGGCCATTTTTGAACTCTTCCAGACACCCCCATCCTAAACGGCCCTTCAGGGGCCCCTTTCCTCAGCCCTTTGGGGGCTGAGAATCTGCCTCCAGCCTCACCTCTGCCGAAGTAAAGCGTGTTCCCTCCTGGAAACGGTCCGAGATCCCGCATGCTGGCCTGAGCCCAAGTCGCCTCCGTGGGAAAAGCACAGGTGTTCTTGCTCACACCAGCTGTGGGTACACAGCCCAACCGCGGACCAGTGCCTCTGCTGCAGGGCCGCGCGGGCATGGCCCGTCCACCCTCCCTCCCCTCCACACACACCTTGCCCAGGGGGTGTTCTGAGGGCAGGTGGCCAGCTCAGCCCCTGTGGTGTGACTGGTTTGCTGTGTCCTGAGGCTCCAGCGACACAGCCTAAGTGAGGCCCCGCTGGGGTGCATGGCCGCCCCACTGGCAGACCCCCGTCTCGCTCCTGTGGGCAGGGCCCTGGTGCCTCCGGCCCTGTCTCCAGGACCACACTGCATCCCTCTGAGCCTTTCCTCCATGATCCCGTCAGGAGCTCACCTCACATCTGTGCTCAAGGCTGCCCCTCGGGACGCATGGCCAATGTCACGTGACGTGGGCCTGTCCCCAAGACCTCATGGGAGCACAGTGTTGGCTACAGGGACCCAGATGGGACCGTGCCCGGGACCTGGCATACGGGGCACTTTCCGTCCCCGCCGCTGAGGCCTCCGCTGTCCTGGGGCAGCCACCAGGCCAGGCACTCACGAGGCCACATGCAGTGTCTGCACCCCAGGGGGCCTCCCTTTCTCTCCTGTGGCCTCAGCAGCAGCCTGGGCGACTTACGGTGGCCGCTTGGAATTCTGGTTTTTGATGAAGACACTGAGTCATCTCAGGACTAGGAGAACATGACCCAGCGGCCGCCGGGGGCAGCCTGGCCAGAGCTGCCCTCCCTGGACTCCGGTATCCATTGCCCTGTCACACGCCCTGAGTTTACAAGGTGCAGAATGTGGCGTTTTCAGGCTCCCTGATTTCATACTACTGATGTGGCAGGAGCCCCGGCTTCCTGTGTGTGAGCTGCAGCTCCTAAGCAAGGCTCGGGAAAGCCACTCCCTGGCGGTGGGGCCCCGCCGGTGAGGCTGTGCCTGTTCTGAGCAAGTGTGAGAAGAGATCAGCCCGGTTGTTTGGGGACAGTGATGGGGGCACTGCCAGCATCCTAACTGCTAGATTCTGACGCTCACCCTCACCAGGCTCCTGTGTGGCAACCCCATCATCCCCTTGGGGTTCGCCCTGAGGAAATGGAGGCTCTGAGAGGTTAAGTAGATGGTGGCACCTGGTGTGACCCCCCAACCTGACTCCACAACCCACACCCCACTGCCCCCTGCACCTCAGAGGCCCTAGTTGCCCGGGGCTGGGGTGCAGGCCTGGCTGGTGGAGGGGGGCAGCTTCCGAGCAGCCAACTGCTTCTCTGGCCTCACCCATGCTGTGTGTCTTTGTTGAAGGGGGACCTGGGCCCCTACGGACAAGGCCCTTCCTCTGCACCGCGGTCGCCTGTGAAGTGTGTGTCGTTGTGGGGTTCGCTTGTGAACTGCGTTCCTCGACGCCCCCGGGGTGATGCTTGCAGAGAGCCAGAGGCACGTGCCGTCCGCCCTCATGGCCAGAAAGTTGCCAGCAGGTGCAGGGAGCTCTGTTGCCAGCCAACAATAACTGTCTTTGCTTTTATCTTCTTCATTTCCTGGCACGTAACCCAGCTGAAGAAGCGGGCATTGGCGATACCCCCAACCTGGAAGACCAAGCCGCTGGACATGTGACCCAAGGTCAGTGGACTGGAGCTGCTACCACACCCTGGAGTCGGGCAGAGGGAGGTGGACACACCTGGATGGTCTCGAGGCTGAAAAGAGAGCTTGGCCTGGACCCTGATCCATGGTCCAGAGGTTTCGGCTGCTGGTTCTTACCAAAGACGGGCCATTCACATATGGAACGAGCGTTCCCCTAACACTTCCTGAATCACGCCTCAGGTGTTGGTGTGCCGAAAGGAGCTGGCGTGTCCAGCCTAGGGAGACAAGGCCAAATGCCCAAACCTCGGGCTCTAGGGCCTCCAGCCCACCCCCAAGCCCACAGCACCGTCAGGCTCTGTCTTTTTCACTTTCTTCTGTGCAACCTTCACACTGATCTTTTTCTCACATCATAACTTGTGTCCAAGAAAAACTATTTTCTGTGATCCTTTATCATGAATGTTTTAAGAACCTAAGTTGTTAAAGTCCCAGAGATTGCTTGTGTCAGGAAGCGGGGCTCCCTGGACCCCAAGAAGCAGTTGGTTTTCTGTCACTTGCTGCATAATAGAACTTGAGAGGCCACCAGATAGTGTGGAAGCTTCTAGCTTGCGAGGGGTTGGGGAAACACGTAGCTTCCTCCAGAAAGCGGTAGGGGTGTTCAGCCCCACCCTGGGGCCACTTGGCTGATCTCGAGGCTCTGGGCCCAAGACATTGTTCCCTTGAGGGTATTTTGAGGGCCAGTGCCACATTTCCCCCTGCAAGACTGTCTGGGCTAATACTTCTCATCTCCCAGGTACAGGCTGGGTTTTCATTCTTAAACCTCTAAAGAGCATCAAGGTATATTAGGAAGGTGATGGATGCCAGCGGGGCCTCGGCCTGTGTGTTAAATAGGTGGAAACCTGGCTCTTGTTTCTCTGAGGTCCTGATTCTCAGTTTAGGTAAAATGAGTGCTCTTATTTATTTATTTTTAAAGATTTATTTATTTATGCATACAGAACTGGGGTATAGGCCTGAGGTACAGGGGCGGTGAGAGGAGCAGAGACAGAGTGGGGAGCAGAACAGGCAGATGGACGAAGTACACTGCTGAGGGGAGCAGCGGGCGGGTCAGGAGAGGTCTGCCACGCCATGTGGTCACCTCCGGGGCAGGCGGGGATCAAACATCAAACTCGTGCTGAAGAATCTGTGGCCAGCTTAGTAGTACTGACTTTAACCCGTTGTGCCACCAGGGAGGGCCTATATATATATATATATTTTAAATCTGTTATAATCTCTGAGAATGATAGATTCTTTCCATAAAAGGAAGTGAAGACAAGCGTTTTTCTACAAATGTTTACTAACGCACCTTCCACGCAACCTTACTGTTACGTTAACTGTTTAACCTTCTTCAGCCACACCCTAGAATCACGGAACTCTAACGGTGCTCACCAGCTAACAGTGGCAGTGGGAACTCGGCGCAAGCCGGTGGCTCCAGAGGTCTTCCTGCCCTGCCTGGGACTGCGGTCCAAGCCCCAGTGAGACCCTGAAATCCAGACACCTGGTGGCCCCAACACACACTGGTCCAAGGCCCGCAGTCTCTGATACTAAAACCACCCGGCTTCAGAAGAGCCATATAAACACAAGCATAGTGAGTCCATCTCTCCCTCGCTCTTCCCTGTGGCTGCCTGCGCTCGTAAAGCACAGAGGGGCCACGCTGGAAGTGGGGTGTGGCATGTGTACCCCAGAGGCAGACTATCTTCCGTGAGCGTCCGGGCCTCCCCGGGGCAGAACACAGTCTGTCTGGACCCCTGAGACTATCACACTGCATTTGCTGAGATACTGGTTTCCTTGGGCCTCCCAGCACCCCCACCCACCAACCATTGCTACGTTAAATATTTACTGAACACTCCAGAAAAAGAATTGCATCATGTAAGATTCTCCATTCACACACACACACACACACACACACACACACGCACGCACACACACTCTGTCACACATTCGATCATACATTGACTTCTCAAGGTGCTTTTACCACCCGAGCTCGGGACCCCTGTTTCTTCTGTAATGGGAGTCTTTTAGCATCGTGTAGTCTGTCAGTGTGGTAACATCCCCGTCAAGGACTGTCTGGGACGGCTGGAGGAAGGCTTTGCCTGGAAGGTGCGAGAGCAGCACGTCCTGGTGTAACAGGGGCCCCCAGGGCTGCGACATCTTTGCAGTGGGGCCACCTCAGCAGAGGCCACCTCCGTGCCCAGATCCGTGTGAGTCGGGTTCTGCTGGAGGGTCTCGGGGTTCTCAGTGAAGACTCGAGCCCCAGAATGGTCCATGCAATGGGTGGTCCCCACCTCTCAGCACAGGCCGCAGGCAGGGTGGGCGCGCGAGCACCTGCTGGTTTCCTTGAACAAAAAGGGCCGCAGGGAGTGTGGGAGAGGAGTGGGGGCCCCTGCTGCAGCCAGCAGGGCCACTCCGGAAGCCAGAGGCCGTCCGTGCCGGCGGAGAAGCTTCTGTGGCCGAGTGGACACAGCGGCTGGCCCTGAGCGCGCAGAGGAGCCTCACCGGCACAGGGCGGGGCCTTGGGGGTGCAGTCCCAGACCCCCTTTCACAGAAGGGGAAGCTGAGGCCCAGGGAGAAGAGGCGTCACGCAGGGCCACCCAGCGAGGGGTGGCAGCTTGACGCGGTGGCGAGGACGACAGCACGGAGGTGGGCTCTGTGCTCGGTGGGCCTGTGGGGCCCTTTGCTGTCCTTTCCCTGTTTCAAGAGTGTGTCCCCGCCTTAAGATTGACGCCCCCCGCTAACCTTTTGCCACCACTGCCTCTCCAAACCAGCGGAGCTGCGTGTCCCAGGCCCACAGAGGGAGGCACCTGGGAGGACCCTGGCCAGTGACGCCAGCCCTCAGGGCCAGCCTGGACGTGGTGAAGCACCTGGGGGTTCCCTGCTGCCCCGGGGGGAGAAAGGGCTGGAAGCCCCCGTTCTGGTGACCAGCTGCCAACCGCCCCCTCCAATGAGAGAGCCTCAGGAGTCCCCCCAGGAATGGGTACCAAAAAGAGGGGGTGAGGCCCAGGAGGGGCTGACCTCTCCCATGCCCCCCTCCCCCGGATATCTCCAAATGGACTCCGAGGACAGCAAGAGTGTCCAGGGGACCTTCCTCCAGGGGCTGGGGCTCCATGGAGGGGAGACCGTAGATCTGAGGACCCTGGGTCCTACCCACCAGCACGCGTCCGACCTGCCTGGGGTGCCCATCCTGCCCGAAGGCTCCAGAGAGGCCTCCCACCGACCTCGGGGGGCAGAACCTGAGGACGCAGAGGGAAGCCGCCGCAGCGCCGAGCTGCCCGAAGGCCAGAGTCTGCGAGGCCTGCACGAGGGTGGGCTGCCCCTACAGGGGGACCAGGACAAAGAGAGGTTGGGAGATGAGGAGGTCGACCAAGACCGAGACATCGATGAGTCCTCACCCCAGGACTCCCCTCCCTCCCAAGTCTCCCCAAGTCTTCAGAGCTCCCCAAACCAAGATGGGATGTCCCCCCAGACATTTCCCAGGGAGGCCACCCTAGTCCCAGAGCCGGAAGAGCCGGGAGCAGGGCCCACAGACGAAGAGCAGGAAGCACCCCCCAAGTTCAAGTTCCACGTGGAAATCAAAGCGAACACACAGAGGGACCTGAAGGGACACGCAGAGGTGGATTTGGAAGGGGCTGCCCTGCCGGGGGGCCCTGGAGAGGAACAGGAGCCCCAGGGCCTGCCTGTGGGAGAGGACACAAAAAAGCCTGAGTTTCCGAAATCGCCTGAAAAGCAGCCTGCAGCTGGTCTGCCAGGAAAGCCCGCCAGCCGCGTCCCGCAACTCAAAGGTCTGTGACGCTCCTTCCCGGCGGCCCCGTGTGCCACCCAGGCCGCGGAGCGCGGCCTCTCCTTGGCTCCTGCTGCTTCGAGGGGCCCGGGACAGCCCGACACGACCCCTGGACTCTGCCGCTCACGCCCCCGCCCCGCCTGCCCAAGGCTGGTAGCACCTGCCCCCTCGCTTGCCGCCGGCCTTCCCGCATGTCACAACACCCCACCCGGTGCTTCCTGCCCTGTTCATCCCTCAACCTCTCGTTTATCCACAACAGCCTTCAGCCGCGGGAGGTGGGTGTGCCGCCCCGCAGAGAGGAGAGCTGCTCCATATGGGGGGGCTTGCTGTGCCCCTAAATGCTTGTCTAGCACCCCCCACGCCCTCCCACTGGGGCACACCTAGTCCCACTTGTCCCTCTGGGACTCAGAGTGGTAGAGTAACCTGCTCGGGGTCACATAGGAGAGATGAGCCAGGTTCAGGGCCCAGGTAGCCCTGTCCCTCCCTCCACACTGCAGTCCTGCCAGGAGAGTCTGCAGAGTGCCCTCTGCTCTTGTTTGGGGACAGGCAGAGGTGGTGTCAAGAGCCCACGCAGGGTCTCTGCCACACAGGCCCAAGCCCAGCGCCTGCCCGGTGGAGGCGAGAGTGCGCAGAAGCAAAGTCTTCCTGCCCTAAGCGCCTCCCCCACCCTCAGAGCCCAGATGTCCCCAGGCAGGGACTGCCGGGTGTCCACCTGGGCCCCCCGGAGCTCTGGGGAGCAGGACCACAGTGAGTCTCTGTGTCCTGTCGGGGAGAGGGCAGTCTACACACAGAGGAGCACACAGGGGCATATTCTTATATTTAGGGCACTCAGCATTTTTTAATTACTTATGGGGTGCAGAAATTGATGCTATTTAAGCTGAGCGTTGCAAACATGAGTTCAATTTTTATTAGATTCTATTTGCCAAGAAAACTTGGATATACCCTGCCGTCCTGTTTTTAAAGATCCTAAATTCCAGGTGAGGGACAGGACATCAGTGTTTCTTGAGATGTGATACCTGATGTGTTGAATCAGTAGGTATTGAATTTGAATGTTGGTATATTCAAATACTGAGTCTGAATACTTTATCGAATCCAGGCCCCCACTGGATGTCCACAGGTATGTCCAGGGAGTTCCATGGTCCAGTAAGTTAGGATTTTAGGAAAAAACAGCTCAAAGTACGTTCATCGGGGTTTGCTGCTGCGGGAACTATCAGGGCCTTACTCGTCCAATGTGACCCTCTAAGGTCAGTGTGGACTTCCCAAATGTTCTTGCTGCCCCTCAGCGTCTCCCCGAAGAAGGCTGGCTCAGTCACACCCTGACTTGGGAAACGCTGATCTCGCAGATGCTTTGTGGTGACACAGGCGATGGGGATTGACTTGGGCCAGGACTGAGCCAGGTACGCGTGGCCCCTCCCTCGGCTTACGGTCTGGTGGCCCTGGACAGCTGTGTTTTAGCCACCTCCACAGGTGATTCCATCACACAGTAAAGTCTGGAACCTCTGGGCTAGGTGATCAGTGGTAGTCACCCAAGATGCCGTGTGTCCGGCAGCCATGAGAAGCCCCCATCATCGGGAGCAGGAGAGTACAACACTGAAACGGAGACGAAGGTCTGCAATCCGCTCTCAGCCATTAGTGTCAACAGGACAGGAAGAGTTAGAGACGCTGGCAGGTAGACCAGCTGCCCGGACCTGTTTCACCAAAGGGGTGTGGCCCCTAGACAGAACCTGTCAGTGGTCTGTTCCTCAAGAATGCAGATGTCAGCAGAGAGATGTTTGGTGGTAACTAGTCTGCGGGAGAACGGCAGAGTAGTCCCCTGGGGGAGGCCTGTAGGAGACATGAGAAGAGAAGACCCCAGACTGGGTCCGAGGGGAGGGTCCCGGAGGGGGACGGGGCGACAGAACAGCTGGGCTGTGACCAGAGCCCTGTTAGGGAGGAACAGGCTCCGACAGACAGCTCGCTCCCCTGCTCTGGCCTCGGTGTGTGGCCCTGGGGCGGGCCAGTGCCCACCCCCTTCTTGAAGTAGGGTTGGCCCCAGCGGGGGAGGCCCCCGGGGAGGGAGGGTGCCTGTGGCAGTGGGACCTACATCACCTCTCCTGACCGCCCTAGGTCACTGGGTGCCGGGACAGTCTCTGCTGTGGCCCCCTGCATGTCCCCGCCCCCAACCCTTGCCTCTCTCTCCGGGTCCTCCCAGCAATGACCCAGCGTGCTGTCTTGATACTAACAATGTGACCCCACGTAGATTCAAGGGGAGAGAGCCGCCGAGGCCAGCTGAAGTGTTGTGCGCGGACCCAGGAGGGAGCAGTGTCACGGCGGCGGGCTCTGTGGGCTGTGAATTGGGGGTAACACGTGTTCTCGTTTTGTGTCTTACCAGCTCGCATGGTCAGCAAAGGCAAAGACGGGACTGTCAACGATGACAGAAAGAACAAGGTAAGCGTCCAGCACACGCAGCTGCCTGCCGGCCGAGTCTGTGGGACAGCCAGCACGTGTGTTGCGGAGCGGGGCCGGGTGCCCAGAACCGCTGTCTCTCGAGTGTGTGTGCGTTACGCAGACTAAAAATCCAGCGTTTATCGGTCTTGAGGCTAATGCCAGGGAGGGGGAGTGCACAGACAGTGAATGCATGTTCCCAATCGCAGCATTGTGATTAGCGCTTAAATGAGCCGGCCATGATCGTGAAAGGTATGTTTGAGTTTTTTGCAATCACGCTTGAATGTTGCACATCTTACACTTCCCACTGCAGATCTGGGCCCAGCAAACACACACACAAGAGATATAGAAAACGCCACTTACTTAGTGGGCAGAGAGTGCTGACCGTTGAAATGCTCTCCCACACAAGGTCAAGGATTCGGGAAAAGTGCTAGAGGCCGGTGGTGAAGGAACCCTGAACTAGGCTGGCCAGGCAGGGGTGGGGAAGGGGTCTCCAGGAGCAAGAAGGCAGAGCAAAGCCCAGCAGCAGAGGGGTGACTGTGTCCTGAGAGCTGCAGTGGGGGCGGGGGTGGGGGGCCTGACTGCCGTGAACCCTGAGTGGTGGAGGTGGCAGGGGAGGAGAAAAAGTGGGGGAACCTGCTCACCCCCTGCAAGCTAAAGGCATGAATGTGGCTGTGGTACAGGAGACACTGTGACGGAGGGGCACTGAGGGGCCCCAAACTATCGAGGGGTGCTCCCTCTCAAAGGGGTTTAGCCATCTGCCATGCTAAGGCCAAGGAAGCATACTCTTAGTGTGAAAGACTTCGGGAAGAATCGGCGTCCGTAGAGAGATGAAGGGCTGCTGTCCCTAGTAACAGTCCCCAACAAAGCCCAGACAGCAGGCAGGGTGGAGCTGATGCAGCTCTGGGGGGGTCCTGGGAGTCCAAGGAGCCTCTGGAACTGCAGGAGAGGGCTTAAGCAGGCCCCAGAGAGCGGGGGAAAAGGGAGAGGCGCAGAGTTCAAAATGCACCAAGTAACTCTCCGTGGACTCTGCCAAGGCCCAGGAGCCACCGCCTGGGTCTCCCACCCACAGGTCTCTCCTGAGCACCTGGTCTCCCCTCCAGGTCTCCTTCCAGCAGGCCCAGGTCCTCGTGGGGCCGCAGAGCAAGCACGTGGGCCCTGGAGCCTCCCCCGAGCCTTCCCCGTGGTGCGGCCCGCTCCGCTCGGCTCTGTTCCAGATCCCAGGGCCACGGTGGGCGCAGCCCTGTGGGCCTCAGCCCCCCAGGGACCCAGACCCCCAGGGGCCCAGACCCCAGGGACCCAGCCCTCCAGGGACCCAGGCCTTCAGCCCCCCAGGGCCTCAGCCCCCCAGGGGCCCAGCCCCCCGGGGCCTTAGCCCCCCAGGGACCCAGCCCCCCAGGGACCCAACCCCCCAGGGGCCCAGACCCCAGGGACCCAGCCCCCCAGGGACCCAGGCCTTCAGCCCCCCAGGGCCTCAGCCCCCCAGGGGCCTAGCCCCCCAGGGACCCAGCCCCCCAGGGCCTCAGCCCCCCAGGGACCCAGCCCCTGAGGCTCTGCATGTACATGGTGGCAGAGGAAGGGAGCCGGTCAGGGCTCCCAGTCTGCTGGGCGCCTCCCTCTCGGGGAGACTCCACTGGAGCGCTGCCCTTTTCCGGTCTGGCCAAACAGCGTTTGACCAGTGCTGATGTCCCTCTTCAAAAACCAACCCAAGGAGCAGGAGAGGAAGCAGCTCTCCCTCCCGGGGAGCCACGCCTGGCCCTTGGGGTGCGTCCTTCCCCCCCACCCCACCCCCATGCAGGCACGCGTCATCACTTTGCATCCTGGACCCTGCCTCTTGACCGCACAGCCTGAAACATCAGGTCTGAAACCCTGGAGCCCTGAAGGGCCCCAGATGCAGAATGGGGCTCTCGGAGTTGGCACCCGGCATGCTGGCCGCTCCCCAAAGTGCCTGCCCTTTGAGAGGCTGGTATTACCTTCCCAAGATGCTGGGGAGGGAGCCAAAGACCGGCTGGGGCCTGGAGGATGGTCTGCAGTCTCGATGCCCACCTAGGGACCCCGACTGGCCCGAGCATACGTTCGTCCAGTCACACACAGGCACAGCCGCTGCTCTGGGTCGCTCTCAGCCTCGCAGGGAAGGGGCAGCGCCCTCAGGAACCTCGCCGGGCAGGGGGCGCTGCCCTGGGGAGGCGGCTCTCCTCCCTGGCCACGGCCCCAGGCCCCTCAGCCTGCACCCCCCCTCGGACCCTGGCCCGTGCCTTGGACCGTCCCGGCTGCCCCTGGCCAGACAGAGGGCCTTGGCCTCTTCAGTGGGAAACCCAAGGGAGAAGGCAAACTCCCCATGAAGTCTGAAGAAGCCCCCAACCAGGGCCCTCTTCGGGAGCCGCCCCCCACAGCGCCCTGGCGTGCTCTCAGTTCATTCCTGCGGGCCTGGGCTCCCCAGCCCACCTCTCCGCCTGGGCCTTGCTTTCTGGCCAGAGAGCCCCAGAGGCAGCCAGGACACACCATTCAGCGCCCACCAGGCGGAATCAAGGGGCAGCTCCCTCCAGGCATCACCCAGCTCCCTAGACCCCCCCGCCCTGCCCTTAGGGGGTGCCTTGGCCAGATTAGGAATCAAGTCACCTGACAGTGCGAAGATTTGCTCCATCAGAAAGCGCACGTGTTGGGGTACCCAAGTGGGGTCAGGATCTGTTCACAGGATGTGGGGCAGGTGCGAGTCTGGGTCCAGCCGCGTGACGCTGTTGGGTGGTGGGAAGAAGACCCAGGGTGAGCGGCCGCCGCAGCACCCCACTTGGAATTGAGCAGAAAGTGGGGGTGTTGGGGGGGAACATCCTAGCATTGAATCCTTGAGTGGTCTCCACTGAGTTCACGGTGGGAAACACCTGGAAACCTGGGGTCCCCAGAGTAACACAGGAAGAGCCGGCCTCGGGCCGAGCAAGGCCCAGTGCAGAACTTCTACCCCTTTGTCACAGGCTCTTGGCAAAGCGGTGCCCTGGGCTAACTTGGTGACGCGCCTTGCGCGCTGTGATCCCGTGGAGGTGTTTCGCTGACCACCCGTCACAAGCACATCAGGGCCCGGGGTCACCTCTGTCCTTAGCTACGAAGCTGGTCCAGGGTCCACTTGGGAGATCACTGTCTTACATCACCTGCGTGGTTACTCTTGGTCACTGCTCCCCGTGCGCTGACTTTTATTTTGATTTTATTTATGTTTATGTTTAAGACATCCTCACCTTCCTCTGCTGAAACCCTGAGCAATAGGCCTGCCTTAGCCCCAGACGCCCCTCTCCTGGTAGCGCAGACCCTTTGGTCAAACCCTCCAGCCCTGCGGCGTGCCCAGAGCCACGCTCCTCCCCTAAACACGCGTCTTCTGCCACACCCGCGCCGGCAGAATTGGAGCAGAGCAGATGAAGCTCAAGGCAAGGAACCACCTTGGAAAAGGAGTCGGGCTGCTGGCGTGGCTGGCGGATGTGTGCTTTTCCTGCCTCCAGGCCTTCAGGTCAGCTCTGAGCTGGAAGCACGTGAAGATCCCGGTTAAGTGGGGAGATGGGGTGCACTGCCATCCTTCTCTGCGCCCCGCTCTCCTGTTCCTCCTAGACCAGTTCCTGAGGTGCCCGCTGGGACCCTGGTTTGAGAACCAGCCCTCTCATGGGGGCCTTTGTCCAGTCCAACTTTGGTAACAGGGAGCGCCTCGGGGCGCCCCCATTCTGGCTGGATGGCATCACTCTGCCGCAGTGAATTCACGCCCTGCCCCGCCACCTCGTGGGCCTCGGTGAATGCCAGTGTCTCTCGAGCCTGTGTGAGGTCAAGGTCACTTGCGGGGCAGCCGACCCCATGGCAGCCTTGCTGAGCTCGTGCTCCCGCCCTGTGGCCTGTTGGCCTGTGCTGGCGTTGACCCCTCCAGGGTCTCCCTGCACCTCAGGAATCACTGAAACCTAAGGTGGTTTGGGAGAAAACAAAAGGACCGCTTGGTCAGGCTCGACAAGCAGCACCAACAGACCTGAAGGGGCCCCCCAGGTGGTGCAGGGGTTACGTCAGCGCTATCGAGCTGTCACAGCCACGGCAGCACGAGTTCGATCCCCGGCCAGGGAGTGACCCGCAGGGCGCAGCAGACCTCTCCTGACTCCCGCTGCTCCCTCAGCAGTGTGTTTCAGTGGATCCGTCTGTTCTGCCCCCCACTCTTTCTGGTGACAGCCCCCATCTCTGGCCTGCACCCCAGTTCTTGTGTGCATAGGTAAATAAAAATAAATCTTTATAAAAGAGGCCGAAGGTCTGTTAGGGTCACCCGTCCGCGAGACCCTAAGAAGCGCTGGAGATGGGTGTCTGCAGCTGGTGGCCACAAAGGTCATGGATGACTTTGCATAGCCACTGGCAACAGGCTCACAGGTCCCCCCCACAGCGGATCTGGGGGGCTGGGGGGCTGTGCCCAGCCACCCTGGTGCTTGTGGAAGACGCTGGTGGTGTCTGGGCGCCCCCTAGCTCAGCCGCCGTGCAAGCTGGCGGTCGCGCTGTGGCAGGAACCTTTCCCAGCCATAAAAATAAAAACCACTCTGGGTGCTTCCATTTTCAGGGGTCGGATAATAAAACCGGATCAAAGATCGCCACCCCCCGGGGAGCGGCACCTCCCGGCCAGAAAGGCGCAGCCAACGCCACCAGGATTCCAGCCAAAACCACCCCCAGCCCCAAGACCCCGCCGGGCACAGGTGAGAGCTCCAGCTCCCAGCCGGACGGCCCGCGGCGCTGACCGCTGCCCGCCCGGGCGGCTGGTGGGCGTCGTGGTGCACAAGCCACCCTCGTGTGCGTTTCCCGTGTAACCATCTTGAGGAAAATGCAGCTACATGTGGAATAAGGAGCAGGCAAGAAGCTTCTCGGGGTGTCTCTGACCCCAAGTCCAGGACCCCTGGGGGAGGTTCTCAGTCCTCAGACCAGCCGCCTGGCGCTGCCTCCCTGGCCGGTCACTATCACAGGAGCTCAAGGCCACACGGGTGAAAGCCCGAGGCTTAGCAGAACAGGTGACCTAGTGCCGTCCCCGGTTACAAGTCCGGACACCAGCCCTCGGCCGCGTGGTCTTGCTTCCATAGTGCTGAAGAGTCATCCTGGTCTGTGGGACGCAGCCAGGCCCAGCTCCCCATCCCACTGCCTGGACACTGCCTGGCCACTGCCCCTTCTACCTGCCCGGCCTCCAGGTTATTCCACACTACTGGGCGCGTGGCTGGGTGGCTCTGTGGTGCTGGGGGGCTGGCGTCTGCTGCCTGTGGCCTGAGGTGACGGCTCAGAGAGGCCCTAGCTGTGGCTCTAGTAAGGACAGCTTTCTAAAGCTGGGGGGCTGGCAGTGACCCCTCCTGTGTGACCACATGCTTGCTGTGAGCAGAATCAGGACTGGCATCGATATAGGGCCCTTGATGTCACGCCGAGTGCTGGGCACCCCCCACCCGCCCCACGCCCAAGGAGGGCTGGCAACAACCTGTTCTCCTGCCCTTACCCGCCCGGGAGAGACCTCTCAACCTCCACCCCAAAAGGCCTACGAACAGGGTCCTGGGGCCTGCACCCACACGCCCCTGCCAGCGGCCGGCCCAGCTGGGCTGAGGAGCTCGTCAAGGGCCCGTGTGAGCTTGGTCCTAACGAGGCTTCTGTGGGTTTTTCTTGTTAAGCTACCAAGCAGGTGCAGAGGAAGCCACCCCCTGTGGGGGCCAAGTCGGAGAGAGGTAATTCCGAGCCCGCCGGGCCGGGCGCCTCTGCCTGCTGGCTGACGTGTGTGCGGCTGGAGCCGGCTGGCCAGTCCTGCCCGCCCCGCGTGGCCTGAGTTCAGATGTGTCCGCAGGCTGGACCTTGCTAACCCCGCGTGTTCTCACTAACCTCGGTGGCTCTTGGCTGGGGGAGCATGAGCCTGTCCTCCGTGGGGCTGGAGTTGGGCTGTTCTGGGCCGAGCATGTGTGTGAAATTCCCGCCGGCCCTGATGACATGAGTCCTCACACCCGTGGGCTGTCTGCTCGCCTGTTCTCCAGCTGAGGGCACGAGCCCAGGCTGGCTAGGTGACCTGCCTGGAGGGGCCCTGCCAGGAGGTGGCGCAGAGAGGGGCAGCCCCAGCTCCCCCCCCACCCCCCGCACACCCTCAGCCTTGCCCACGGGGCTGGCCAGGGCAGCGTTGCTGAGCCTGGAGGCGGAGACCCAGCTGCTGTGTCCTTATGGGGAAAGGAAAAAAGGCCACAGTTCTCCTGTTGCCACTGTAGGGTGCACAGGAATCACGCTGTGCCCCTCTGTCCCTGCGGGCGGGCAAATCATCCAGCAGGCATCGGACAGGTGATAGGAGGAAGAAGTCGAAAGGGAGATTAATAACCATGCGTAGCCTGCCATGGCGAGGAGCCCGGGGCAGCAAAGGGAAGGCCAGGGCGGGCACAGCGAGCACAGGGCTGCAGCTGGAAGCTCCGCTTCTCAGGAGGAGACAGGTCTTCCAGCGCGTGACAGGGGCACCCTGGGCAGCACCCCGGGCAGTGACGGGTGCCCCAAGAGAGGGCCGCTCCACCACCTGCAGCGGCCTTGCAGGAAATTAACCTTTTACTTGAGGGGGGCATGTTTCTGCTCCCCTGCGCCAGAGCTGAGCCCCCTCAGGGACACCCCAGACACCGAAATTCAACCCGTAGAGCAGACTGCTTGTCCCTGGCTCATTCTCCCCTGGCCAGAGCAGGGCTTCTTTGCTGCTCTGCCCTTTGAACAAGGCGGGGCGTGGGGGGGTCCTGTCAGTACAGACCGTTCCTGGCGGGGCCTGGTGGCCCGAGGCTTGGGAGCCCACCACAGAGCTCAGCTGCCTCGGGGCTACGGCTGAGCTCAGGTCACCTGGCCTGGCGTCCAGCCGGCCGCTCTCGGATCCGAGTCTGCTCAAGAGTCCCCAGGGAGCTCGGGCAGCCAGTCTGGTGCCCCCACCGCCCAGAGACTCTGATCGGTCCCTTCTGGCTGGGCCCCCCACCTGCATCTGCCCCCCACGCCCCATACTCGGGGCCCAGCACGCTCTAGCAGGTAGATAGAGCAGCGAACTACTAAAGCGTGGCGAAGGCAGACAAGGGCAGGAGTTGGGGGGCGGTGCCCACAAAAGGGAGGGGCTGCGTCTGCCGGGCGCCAGAGGCCCCTGCAGCCTTGGAGGGGGCACTGGCTTGTGCTGGGCGAAGGGTGTTCTTGGGGAGGGCCTGGCGGCATGGAGGCAGCACGGCTTGTTTATAGGGGTGGGAGGGGCAGGGGAGTCTGGGGTCGGGGGCTGGGGCTCCTGGAAGGGGCCTTGAACTTGCCTCAGACTTTGAAGGGCCCCGCCAGTCCGGCCCAGGTGACAGCTGTGTCCTGACATTGCATCGCCCTTTTAGGGGACGATGGAGTTTGACACTCACCCTGGAGTTTTACAAAACCAGTCGGCACACACCCCCCTTGGCCTCACTGCGGGCTTAGTAGTTACTTCTGTTTCCGAGTTGAGGCCCTGAACTCAGAGAGGGTAAGTGACTTCTCCGAGACCACACAGCCACTGGGAGCCTGTCTCTTGACCCCCGGCCTAAGGCAGAGTTGGGCCCCGGGGAAGAGGTCCTGGCTGGCCCTGGGTGACCCCGCTGTTGAGGGGCGTCTCCTCCCCTGGAGGCTGGAGGAGGAGAGTTTCACTAGGGACCACCTCAAGGGCTGCTGGTTTAGCTGAACTTCCATCTGGCACCCACCTGCCTGACGCCTCTGAGTCTGGGTGTGGGCCCTCAGGACAGCAGCCCCCCACCGCCCAGCCCTGCTCACCCCTGCTTCCTCCCCAGGTGAGTCTGGGAAGTCGGGGGATCGCAGCGGCTACAGCAGCCCCGGGTCTCCGGGCACCCCCGGCAGCCGCTCCCGCACCCCGTCCCTGCCGACCCCGCCCACCCGGGAGCCCAAGAAGGTGGCGGTGGTCCGCACGCCCCCCAAGTCGCCGTCTTCGGCCAAGAGCCGCCTGCAGACCGCGCCCGTGCCCATGCCGGACCTGAAGAACGTCAGGTCCAAGATCGGCTCCACTGAAAACCTGAAGCACCAGCCCGGCGGCGGCAAGGTGAGGTGGGCGAAGGCCGGCGGCCAGCGGCGTGCGGGCGGC